CTAAAGCTGTGCACGTCCAGGACCTTCTCCCACACTCGTGTTGTCAAGTGACACCTTCAGGGAGCTGCAGACACCACAGCATGTTGTTCCCCGCTGGAAGCAGGTGAAGGAGAAGCCAGGACACGTGCTCAGGTCCCACGAGCAGCCCCCGCGGGAGACCAAGGACAAAACGCAAGTACAGAAAAAGTAGAAAGGCTTAAAGACAACCGAAGAGGTTCAAGTGTGGTTATTTACAACAGAGACTGTAAAATGGCAAATTAGATATGAAGCTAAAAAAGGCACAGCTTCCCTTTCTTAAACACACTGTAAACGGTTCATTAGGCATGCAGAACATTTCACTTTACAAAAAATTTTTTTACCTTGTTTAGACAAAGATAGTACTTAAATAGTCTCCAGCAAAATAGAATTCTTTCAAAAATACTTTTCCATTCATCCTATTAACCACTGAAGTTGCTTTTTTTTTTGTTTTTTTCTTTGTTTGTTTTTGTTTTTTACGTGTCTCATTTACAAAAGTTCCTTATACCTTATTCAGGTCCTTCACAATTTATACATACAGTAATGTACAGCACAGCAAAAGACTGCAAAAAATTATTTGTAAAGCCAACACAATAGATACTAGAAATTGAAACCAAGGCATTTGTTTTAACATCTTATCCATTCTAATTAAATAATAAATGGACGCTAAAGGGCGTGGATGCCAGTGATGCTGAGGAACGGGGGCAAGGAAGAGCCAGAGGGGGCGCTATGCCACGTGCTCTGTTATTACACAACAGGAATCTGTATAGATTTTTTCTTTTTTTGTTTTTTTTAAATAACAAAAGAATATTAATGCCCCATATAGACTATATGTTTTATGTGCAAACCAAGGGTAAGCTTTAAAAAGTCCGTTAGTCCTTGAACCCTTTTAAAACAAGCGAACAATACCAGAAACTACATGGCATAGTTAAAACTTCCATCTGTTAAAATATCAAAATCAGAGAGTTATTGACTAGATATGGCTTTTCATCCAGAGGAACGTGTTTCTAAAGCGCTAGGGACAGGAGAGGGAAGAACACTTTAGACTGTTCAGGTCTTGCCAAATCCACGTCTAACTGCTTTCCCAGCTCCAAACCCTTGACATGACTTTAAACTTGAGAAACTGCTAAATAAGTGTGAATCAACCATCACATGTTAAAAATATGATTTCCTGGGTCCTTCGAGGGTACGGAATAACACAGGGACACTTAAGGCAAAGTTCTGGTGGGACGTCCTCCGTCACTTCCTGTGAAAGTAAAGGGGCTTGGCGTTCCCGGATTCCACTTTTGGCAGCTGGTCGCTGATGATCTCCACCAGCATCGCGGGGAACTCCACTTTCAGAGCCTGGGACTCTCGGAAGGTATAGAAGCAAAATTCCAACAAGTCACTCACCAACTGCAACACAGACAAAGAGAGGACGTGACATGAAGGCCTGACTTCTGTCCCTGGACCACTCTGTGTTATAACTCTGTGTAAACTCAAAAGAGCAACGCTGGGAATCCAACCAGGAAATCAAGGTCAGTGAAGCAGCCCGATTCATTTAGCAAAGTCATCTGTCCTGGGGGAGGCAGAAGGGAGGTCATGTCTCCTGGCATGTAATATGCCTTTCATGCAAAACAGACGCAGCCGAGAGCTGTGTACTGTTGAGGATTAGACATGTCAGTGACTCGGGAACAGTAACAGGTCACTGAATTGCTCTCATCAAATTCTTATTTCTAAACGTGTGAACTAGGTGTGGCAGGCATGTTGACGCTGAATGTTTGTGATGGGCCTTCCTGAGGCTGTAAACAAGTGGGCTAGGGGTGGAGGCCCAAGGCCCACGTGGCAGATACCCAGGACCGTGAGCAGCAGGACAGAGCGCCTTAACTGGCAGGTGTCATACCCACTTTAGGTCTGGCTTGGCCATGCCAGTGGAGCTGTGACCATGAGGGCAGCCAGCACTTTCACCGGCAGCCCCCTGGCCTTCATCCTGCCACCGTCCTTCCTCCCCCAGGCTTCCTGCCCTGAGCTGGGGACAGGGCTCAGACTTCTCAGTCATTTTCTTTTGAAATTTCTTTGGCTTCACTGACATACAGTTGGCATATAATAGCGTATAAGTTTAAGGTGTACAATGGGTTGATACACTTACATATTACAAAATGATTAGCTAACACCTCCATCACTTCATATAATTACTATTTCTTTTTTGTGGTGAGAATACTTAAGATATTCTCATTTGGCACATTTCAAGTATATAATACAGTAGTATTTGCTATAATCACCATGCTGCACATTAGATCCTCAGAGCAACTAGAAGTTGACCAACATCTCCCCCAGGCCCTGATAATCTCCATTCTACTCTCTGTGCCTCTGAGTTTAGCTTTTTAAGATTCTGCATGTAAGTGAAATCGTACAGTATTTGCCTTTCTCCATCTGACTTAGCATAACGCCGTCAAGGTTCATCTATGTTGTCTCTTTCTTATTGCTGAATAAGAATTCCATTGTGTGTATGCACGCTATACTTTCTTGGTGTGTTCATCTGCTTCATCCACTTTGTATTGCAGGCTGATTTTGAGAGAGCGAGTGGAAGCATCAAGGACAACTTTGTTTCCTTGCCTGTCCCTACTCTGTGACCCAAGGACCTTTCTCATCCTCCTGGAACTGAATCGCTCCCAATTCTGTAAGTTAAAAAACACTACCACCACCCACAAATGCAGTATAGCATTACTACTAGTTGCATTCTATTTACTAGGAATATAATTTCAAATCACAAAATATACTGCATTTTTTTCTTTGCTTAATTCCATATCCCATTAGAGGTTAAATGACTTTTGGTCATTTCCCACTATAGTAAAGCAGGCAATATTAATGTTAAATGTCATAAAATTGATTCTGGTGAAGACACATCTGTAACTTTACCTCACGATTTTTTAAAACTCGATTAGCAGGCTTAAATTGGGTCGGAGAGTAAATAACTATGGTAAAGGCCTTCATTATAAACCAGGAATTGAGAAAATCTCATTGGGAAAAAACGTCTGGTGCTTCTGTTTGCGCCTGCGTGCGTCCTCCGTCTGCAGTATTATTCCCTACGCAGGGTCCAGGACTGGGTAAGTGTCCTGCTCCCGCAGGACGCTGGGTCCTGATGAGCTGGGAAACAGCCCGAGCCACCGTCTGCTCTGGGCAGGTTCACACATAGGTAACTAACTGCTCTGCAAATGCTGTGCCTCAGTTTCTGCATCTGTAAAATGGGGTGATGTGCATCCGCTTCATAGGGGCGTTTAGAAGGGGCTGAAGGTGTGAAGCGCGTGGACACTAATGCTCAGTCCCGATGTCGCTCGGGACGTGCTGCTCGGGCCACTCCTCTTTAATGCCATCCTCACCCTGGTCCCCAGTTCCTTCAACTGTAAAACATCGTTTTTCTTTGTGGAGTACAGTTTATTAAACCTGCTGAGTCATCTTTGTGTAACTTAGTCCTCAGGCCCCCCTTCTATAAAGTGACAGAACTTTGTTCTCTGCCTTTCCAGGAGATTCTTAAAATAGAAATGGGATGGCAACTTTCTTAATTTTCTTTTTTCAGTGGCAGGCCAGTGGCCGCGAAAGCTAAAAGCCATGCTGGGTCCTGCTCTCCTAACGTGGTGGCATAAATGAGTCAGCAGTGCCGACTGGGGGCCATGCCCTTTGAGCGGGTGGAGACAGCAGAGTCCTGAGCACCACAGCCATGCGGTCTGGGATGAGAGCGAGTGTCAGATCACTCACCAGGTGTAGAGCAGTGGGAAGCTTGTTACCCGGACAACTGACATCTGAACAAGCTACTGCGCAGGGCCACTTAGAGATTATATTTGTAAGTAGGAGACGGCAGTGCCAGTTGTATGCGATCGGAGATGTAGAGCAGAGTAAATCAGTCCCTCTGGGACAGCATGCACGGGAGCACCCCTGTGAGACTGTTAATTAATGGGGAAAGGGCCCAGGCCATCTCAGTGCTTCTGTCCCTGTCTGTAACATCTGCTGATGTGGTTTCAGCCGAGCATTGCCTAGGAGATGCTGAGAAAACCAGAAGGGAGAGAGGCCAGTGGCTCAGCTGTTTTTCCTTGCAGGTTGGCTGGGGACAAGTGTCCCAGACACTACTCACTAATGCATATTAACCTGGGGCTGGCATTTCCCGCCCACCTCTGTTCTATGTTCCACAGACTGAGAAAGCAGCTTGTTTCCAGTCATGAGCTGGTACCCAGAGCTTCTGTTTACAGTAAGTGCCTTGGCCAGCAGTAGAGATGGGGGCATGGCAGGGCGGGCGTGAGGGGGTGGCCTGGCAGCTCCAGGCGGGGCATTTAACCCTGTGAACACTTGTGGGGAGGATCTCAGTCTTGGGGTGGCCAGGATTCTTGAGGGCTGGAGGGCTGGAAACTCAGGGAACCTTGGCAGCTATGAGAAGGCAGTGGCTGCTTCCAAAGGCTGCCAGGTCCACCCTGCCCCGGGACAAGGCTGTAAACCTTTTCAGGACTCAACTGCGCCAGTGCCTGCAGTTGGTGAGGTCAATATCCAAGCCAGGTGCCCCCAGTCACTGGTTGAGAACGTGGGCCATTCTGGTCCAGGCTGCAGGTTCGCTGACCCTTAGAGCCCTCCCACCACCCTCTCCAGCTCTGACCTGCCACAGCCAGTGGGCCAGGACCCATGATCCCTGGCCCTTCCTTAGCAGATGTTTGAGGTGGGGTAGTGCTGCAGTATGGGGACACCAAGGAGGCACAAGGAGGTGACTACGCCCTGAGAGCTGGGCCAGAGTCACATACTAAACAGCTGGGCTGGCAGAGATGTTGACCAGCGAGTGGACATTGGTTTGTGTGCCAAACTTCTGTGTCTAAAGTCATGCTACACATATGCACAGACACATGTTGGGGGGAGGGCACAGCAGGCGGGGCCCCTGCCCGAGCCCAGAGACGCCAGGAAACAAGGCTACAAATAGGCACAGTACATATGCCCTCACCAGATGCTGTCCCCAACCCCTGCAGGGTAAGGCTGGCCACTTCCCCCAGTACAGAGAGTCAGTGGAGATGGGCCAGGCTGTAGTCACACCCTGGAAGGTGGTGCTAGATGGTGGCTATGCATCACTAAATGACCACAGATAGTTTCTAGTTAGAACCCCCCAATCACTATTCCCCCTGCAAAATTGGGGAAGAGCTGAGTTCATCAGCACCTGCCACGGTTCTAGTGTGTGTGGTGGGGAGAAACCAGGACTTCTCAAAGACCACCTTTTCAATCACTTCAGGACAACTCTGTATGGACAGCCCTCCAGGAATATTCCAGAAGTTTCTCTGGACACTAACTTGGCATGGAATGAGTTTTCAGAACCGTCACTCATTCTCTTCAGATGATGTGAGTACCAGCTTTCACTGCACGTCTCCCCGCCCACTCCCTACAGTCGCTCTCCTGGCCCCAGCTCCATGGAAGGAACCTAGTCTGAGAATCCTTCCTCTCTGAACTCACATATGCCCTATTTTGTCTTTCTGATTTACTTGTCAATTAGCCAAAGAGCCAGGGGGCACCATTTTACCCTGTGATTCACATCCCTCACCTCTGTAACCTTTCACATTTGTAGCTCCTTGAAGACAGGAACTGCCTGTGCCACCAGCATTCAGGAGAGGCCCCGCCCTGCCATGTCTGAGCAGCCCTGGTAAGGAGCTGAGGCTCTTCCAAACTCATAAGTGCCCAGGAATAACATTTAAACAGTATTTTTTCAGGGTAGCATGTTGCTAGTTTTAAATACAAACGCAAAGCTAACCTTTTTCACCCTTTTCTGTCATTCTGATTTCCTTTAACTTAGGTTGGGTTTTAAGGTGACTTCATATGCACATCATGCCACGGGTGCCATGAGCCCCATCCCTCTTCTCAGGGGAGTAGGAGGGTTACAATGACAAAAGCTCTATGCTGTTTGCCTCAATTGCAATAAGAGAAATGGCCTGACCTGCCATCTCAATATCGATTCCCACTGGTAATACCAAGCTGGATGGAGAAGCAAGAACCCTAATTATAATCAGTAACAAGAGTTCAACATTATTAGGAGTCAGAGAAAGTCTCGTGCAACGACTTTTTATTCTGTACAAAATGCATCTGGCAGGGTCACGGAAGTTTAGCTGGACACTTAGCATGAGTTATGCAGCCTGACGGGCCACAGCTGTCAGGGTGGCAGAGGAGCCTGGCAAGGTCACAGTGACTGAAGTCACCGTGGCACAGCCACTGAGTGGTGCCAGAGCTCCCAGACAGACGGTGCCAGCCACCCTGGGGTAGGGCCTCGCACAGCAAGCTCATGCTAAGTTATCTGCTGACTCTGGAACTCTCACCTAATTCGGATCTAGCTTTTGTCTGAAATAAGCATGGGGGGGGAGGGCACGAGGCTTCATTTTTAAAGATCAGAATTTTAGCCAACTATATTGATGGAGTTAGGGGCAAAGATAAGAGCTCCAACCCTAAATAGTGATAGAAACTACCAGTGACTGCGTGTTCCAGGAGCTCCTGCAGTTGCATCATGAACATACGGTGCACTTCCTTCAGAGCCCCTCACAGGCCAGGGTGGGAGACACCTGTGCAGGTGGGGACTCCTGCTTTTTTATGGCTGGTGATTTCTCAATAAAACACAACAGTAACATGCTGTAAAAGAGCCCCCAATGTAGTAGCATTTATTTCTACACCAGAAGTAAATATAACCTTTAACAACAAGGTGATACCATTATTTACTTGTGGATTCCTTTTGAAAACGCAGGTCCCACTGCTCTGCTGAGCTTGAGAGTCTAGAAGGCCTCCTAGATGTGACCAAGAGAAAAAAGATCGGCGAGACCCCCCTGAGAAGCGATAGAAGCGTAAGATGGCTCCTCCTTTTTGTCTCTCCCTTTTTAAGAGTTAGACATCCATCCATGAACAAATAGGAGCTGTGGGCACCAGCACTGTATGCCAAGAGACTTGGGAAGAGTCTTCCCCACCTGTGGATCCAGCCAAGCAGCGAACTTGCCCCAACCCCTCTCACCAAAGTCAGGGGAATGCACCTGGAGAGTGCTGATCTGGGCAGACACCCACAGACAAAAGAGAAATTGAATAGGTCCAGTCTTCCCAAGGGGAAATTCCAGCATGCGATCGGACCAACCCCTCCCCACCAAAACGAGTTTGAATGCAGCGGAGATGGTAAGAACTTGACCAGCACCCCACACACAACAGTGCACGGGGCTGAACTATCATAGGGCGGTGATGTCCCCTATGGAGGAGAGGGGGAGAGCAGTAATGAGTACCTGCCTACCCCAGTGGTGCAGGTAGAGAAGCCCCTTTCCAGCAGTACCAGGATACTGAGGTAGGACCTCCAGGACTGGGAGGAGGAAGGGGACTTATATTCTGCTGCTTCCCTAAAGAGCATTAAAGGAACAAAGTTCCTGCTTGGGAGCACCATACCTGGGGATACTGGGTCCACAGGTACCCCAAGTGCAAAATCCATACCTCTCCCCACTCTGGCTCTTGGTGTGAATTTCCAAGTCTGGAAGCAAGGGCAAGGCCCAATAGGGACTGCCCTCAGCGAACAGTCCTGGGTCTGGGAGAAACCACTAACTGAAGCTATAGCGCCACCTTCTGGAAAACGAGAAGCTTCCGGCAGCCAGCCAGGAGTGCTAAGAACCACAGAGGACGTAAACGCTTAGGAATCCTGCCACAAGAGGGAGCCATGCAAGAGTAACAGCAGTAGCCATTCAAAGGCAGAAAACCCCTCTATGCAACATCAGCACCAATGAACAGAATACTCATTTGAAGACAACGTGCAAAGATTTAAGGAGGTACCTGCTACTTGAAATGAGAAAGCAATACAATACTACAACGAATGTTATCAAGGAAACATGTCATCAAAAAGTGATAATCTTCTAACAAACAACCAAGTACAAAGGCATGCAATTTTGTGATCTTGCTGATGAAGAATCCAAAAATCCCAGTTTTGAAGAAACGCAGCTAAAAGAAAACTCCAATTCATGAAAAAATAGGATCAATGAAATATTTACCAATAAGAAGAACCAAGGAGAAATTATGGCGCTGAAAACTAGTGAAATCAAAAATGTAATAGAGAGCATGTGAAATAGAGTAGAGCGAGTGGAACACAGAATAAGTGAGTTAGAGGGTAGGAAGTGTGCAGTAACCCAGTTACAGGAGAACAAAGAAAGCCTACATGATCTATGTGATTTCATCCGAGGAACAAGTATGAGAATAATTGGAATTCCAGAAGAAGAAGGGGGAGGGTAGAATATTAATAGCCGAGAACATCCCAAACTTGGGGAGAGAACTAACTGAATATCCAAGTTCAAAGCTAATAGATCGCCCTATTATCTCAATGCACAAAGACCTTATCCAAAATACATTATAATGAAACTGTCGAAAGAATTCTAAAAGCAGTCAGAAGATGATAGCTTAATGTGGGTTCCTTTGTAGGTTATCAGTGGTTTTCTCAGCAAAACCCCTATAAGCCAGGAGAGAGTAGAATTAGATATTCCAAGTGTTGAAAGAAAAAAAAATTGCCAGCTAAGAATACTGTCTGGCAAAGTTATCCTTCAGCTATGAAGGAGAAACACTTTCCTTAAAAGTGAAGATAATTCATCACTACTAGACCTGCCTCAGAAGAAATGCTGAAAGGAGTTCTTCAAGCTGAAATGAACAGAGGCTAATCAGTGACGAAAACATATGAAAGTATGCAACACACTGATAAATATTAGGAAACTCAGATTCTGTAATTGGATCATGTGTTGACCACTTAACTAAAGTATAAAGTTCAAAGGAAAAGAGTACTAAAAATCGTAGCTTCTATAATTTGTTAATAAGTACACATATAAAAACAGGTAAATAAAAATGAAAGAAATAAAAAGGGGAATGTAAGAGTGAAGCTTTTATAGTCAGTTGAAATTAAGTTGCTATCAGCTTGAAATGTACTGTTTTATTTATGGGCTGTCTTATGTCAGACTCATGATAACCATAAAGCAAACACCTGGAGTACATGCGCAGAAGGTAAAAAAAGAAACAAGGCATACCACTATGGAAAATCAGCCATTTACAAAGATAGGCTGAAAGAGAAGGAAAACGACCAGAAAGCAATAAGATGGCATTAGTAAGTTCTTACGTATCAATAGTAACTCTAACGGTTAATGGACTGAATTTACCAATCAAAAGTCAAAGAGTAGCAAATAAAATCCAATGAAAGAGGAGACATTATAAGAGACTACAAACAATGAGATGCTAACAAATTGGATAACCTAGGATATATAGAAGAATTCTTAGAAATAAAAGATCTGAACAGACCACTAATGAGTAAGGAGACTGAATCGGTAATGAAAAAACTCCCAACACAGAAAACCCCAGGACCAGATGGCTTCACTGGTGAATTCTACCAAACATTTAAAGGAGAATTAACGTCAGTCCTTCTCAAACTCTTTCAAAAACCTGAAGAGGGAACATGTCCAAACTCATCATATGAGGCCAGCATTACTCTAATACTAAAGCCAGACAAAGCACAAGAAAAAAAAAAAAAAAAAAACAGGCCAAGATACCTGATGGATAAAGATACAGAAATGCTCAACAAAATAGTAGCAAACCATTCAACACTTCATTAAAAGGATTATACATCATGACCACACAGGATTTATCTTCGAGATGGAAGGATTTTTTAAAATATGTAAATCAGTAAATGTGATAAACAGTAATAGATAAAAACCACATAATCATCTTAATAGATAACAGAAAAAGCATTTGACAAAATACAACATCCTTTCATGATAAAAACAAATTTGGATATGAAAGGAATATACCTCAACACAATAAAGGCCATAGATGACAAACCCACAGCTAACATTTTACTCAATGGTGAAAAATTGCAAGTTTCCTCAAAGATCAGGAACAAAGCAAGAGTGTTCACTCTCATCACTCCTATTCCACATAGTACTAGAAGTCCGAGCTAAAGCAATTAGGAAAGACAAAAATAAATAAAAGGCATCCAAATTGGAAAGGAAACAAAATTGTCATTATTTACACATGATATTATGTATAGAAAATCCGAAAAACTCAACCCCCAAATTATTGGGTTAATCAATGAATCAGTAAGTTCTAGGATTAAAATCAACATACAGAAATGTTACATTTCTGTATACTAACAACTAAACATCAAAAAAAAAAAAAAAAAAGAAATGGAATTATCCCATTCAAAATAGCAATAAAACACTTAAGACAGGATTTAACCAGGGAAGTAAAAGATTGATACAATGAAAACTGTAAGACTAAGAAATTGAAGACACATGTTCATAGATCCAGAAGACTTAATATTCTTAAAATATCCATAGTACCCAAATGCCATCTACAGATTCTACACAATCACTATCAAAATTCCAATATATTTTTTCATGGAAATAGAAAAAAACAATCCTAAAATTTGTATGGAGCCACAAAGACTCCAGATAGCCAAAGAAAGAAATCATGGGGAAGAAGAACAAAGCTCTAGGCATCACACTTCATTACAAAATAGCATAAAAATAGACACAGACCAAAGGAACAGAAAGGAGCCCAGAAATAAACACCTGCATTTATGGTCATCAAATATTTGACAAGGGAGCTGAGGACACTCAATGGGGAAAAAGTCTCTTCAACAAATGATAATGAGAAAACTGGATAACCACCTGCAGAAAAATGAAATCTGTCCCGTCTTACACCACTCACAAAAATTAACTTGAAATGGATTAAAGACTAAACATAATATCTGATACCATAAAACTCCTAGGAGAAAACATACAAAAGAATTCCTTGACATTGGTCTCAGCAATGATTTTTTAAATATGATAGCCAAAGCATAAGCAACAAAAGCAAAATTCAACTAGTGAGACTCAGTATCTAGAATATATAATGAACTCATATACTTCAATAACAACAACAACAAAATAACCCAATTAAAAAATAGGCAGAGGAACTAAACAGACATTTTTCCAAAGACAAACATATGGTCAACAGGTACATGAAAAGATGCTCAGCACCAATCATCAGCGAAACACAGCCACAAAGAGCTATCACTTCCTACCTGTTAGAATGGCTGCCATCAAGAATATAATAAGTGTTGACAAGGCTGTGGAGAAAAGGGAACCCATGTGCACTGCACGGCTGGGGGGACTACCAACTGGTACAGCCACTATGGAAAACAGTATGGAAGTTCCTCGAAAAATTAAAAATTAAAAAAATATTAAAAATCCTGGATCTGTATTCAAAGTAAATGAAAACAGGACATCAAAGAGATATATGTACTCCCATGTGGTACATGTATACAATGGGATATTATTCAGCCAAGAGAAAGAAGGAACTCCTACCATTTGCGACAACAATGTGAGGGCATTACGCTAAGTGAGACAAGTCAGAGAGAGAAAGACCAGTATTGTAATGGTATCACTTATATATGGAATCTGGAAAAGCCAAATTCATAAAAACAGTAGAATGGTGGTTACCAGGGGCTGGGGGGTGGGGGGCGGGGAGAATTGGGACGATGTTGTTTGAGAATATAAGCTTACAAACCAAGAGATAAGTCCTAGAGATCTAATGCGCATCACTGTGATTACAGACAAAAAGACTGTATTATAAACTTCAAAGTTGCTAAGAGACTAGATCTTAATGGTTCCCACTACATAAAAAAAATGACCGTTATGTGATGTGTGATAGAGGTGTTAGCTAATGGTGGTTTTCATATGCAACATAAATGTATCAAAGTGACATGTTGTATACCTTAAACTCACACAATATTATATGTCAAATATATCTCAATAAAAAAAGATACCCTTGGAAAATATCTAAGAGTGGTTTTTAAATACTCATCAGAAGGCATTTCACAGCCAAAAGCTTATTAACAGGAGAGCTCATGAGTGTAAGCTAAATTCTAAGCCTATACAAGGCATTTGGGGAATTTAGCAAAGATGATCTGGGGCTCTGAGATAGCACTGGAAGCAAAGATGCCATCTGGAAGGAGGCTCCTCTGTGGATTACCCCTTTTAAAAGGCTGCATTCCTCTGCAAGGGACAGTCTGCATGGACAGGGGGCATCTGGATTTAAGAGTGTCCCAGAAGCAGGAGAGAAGCCTCAATAGAGCTCTGAGTGCTCCGATGTGAGCTCTGCCTGCACATTCTAGGTAAGGGGAACCCCAGTGACGGTAGCCAAAGCCAGGGCTCCAGGCCAGAAATACTTGTGGCTCTGCTTCCTGAGAGGCAGGTGGGGTGGTCCTGTGGGTCTGATAGGGCTGCATCTGGAGTCCAGGCTGGTGCAGGCTTGAGCAGTCTGGGCCAGACCAGGCGCCCAGGAATGGGCTGGCTGCTGGGGTGGCAAGTAGGTGCTGTTCAACATCTCAAGAAAAACATCTCGAGAAAAACCATTTCTTAAAACTCACCCCTATCCATTATGAGTATCAGCTGAGGTCACATTTTAATCTGTTTGTCATTATTGTTATAATAAATTAAAAGCTAACCATTGATCTCTGGCCAGTGATGAATATTAAATCTTCAAAATGTGTTTTAGATGCTGTGCTAAGCAAGATGAGTTCAATTTCCTTCTAATTTTTTTGTGTTTAAAGTTATTTAATTTCCACCCTATTTAAGTTTCCTTGTATTATAAGCCTCGTTCTAGATTGCAGCTCCGCCTTCTTCTGAATAAGGTCTATTGTACACGGGAAAAACACAAAGAAAAATGACACAATGGAAAAGGAAAAAGTAGAGCTTCAAGATAAAGAGATAATTAGAACATTGCTGAACAAAGGAATTCTAATGAAAGGGTTGTTTTAAAATGTATTGGCACGCTACTGTATATAGAAGTATGAACTTTTCCTAATTTTGTTTTCAATATTTCCTAGTTCTTGCAAATGTACACTATGCTGAGCAATGTAAAAATCTAAACCAATTCATATTTATAAGTTACCAACTTTAATATCAGGTTCAATCAAGATAAAGCAGTTAAATCTTTATTTCAGTCTATAAAAGAAAAGGAACACTAAGCAATAGACACCACTAGCCAAGGGCAGCCTCTTCTGATCCAAGTACCTTACACCTGAGACCAATGATGTCATTAAATGAAATCAGGAGTCACCTGCAGGCTCAATCTGGCCTAATAACTGGTTTTGTAAGTTTTGTACATTTTGAAATGGTTGAAAAAAAAAAAAAACTAAAAGAACATTTGTGACATGTGGAAATCACATGAAATAGTTTTACTGGGACATAGCCATGTTCATTCAGATATTATCTGTGGCTGCTTTCAGGGTACAGTGCCAGAGCCGAGAAGTTGTGTGTTTCCTACCTGTCCTTTTACGCTCCTGGCTCCTGAATGAGAAGCCATTCCAAGGATTTAGTGACAGCTTATGGGAGAACAGGTTTTGTTAAAATATATAAATTGAGTATAAGATGTCTCCTGATTTCAGAAATATTAAAAGTGGGGAGAAAAAGTCTGAATCGAGATACGGTGGTACCTAGCTCTGGCTCCAAATATACAGATTCACCGAACTTTTAGGAAATGCTTTAGAAAGACCCTTTGTACACAAAGGGGTTGAACAGGATAACAAAAGGCACTGTCTAGCTTATAGGACTTAGAATCTATCACTCGAACGGAGAATCACCATGACTCATCTTCCATTTTTGACTGTTCTTTCAGGAGTCACTTCCCTCTGAACCTGTAGTCCCTGCAGGTTACAAACATTTACAGGTGATTCTCATTCATAGTAGTTATGTTCTATAAAGTCATGGCAAACAGTGAATTTGCGAATACCGAACCCTCAGTCCTAGGGAAAATACAGGGTTAGGTTCCCATGAGCCACTGGTCACAATATTTTCATTAAATGATCCTCGTTTAATGTGTCTCTGTTTAAAGACACCTCAGTTAATATATACTGCTGATTCCTGAGCACTGAACTCAAGGCCAAACAGCATTGTAAGTCATACCTGAATATAACTTACTGAACACACTTGCTTTCTCCACGAAGCACATCATAGCCCTCTTGATTTTAGGAACACGAGACAGTGCGTGAGCACTACATTTGGGGACAATTTTAAGTGGCAAATTCACCAAAAGAAATGCAAAAACTATGGCACTAAGTAGACCATGAAAAGAGCACTTGTTTACTGCATGAGAGCCGAAGCGAGAAGGGGGTGGCGGCTGGTTTGACCTTACTTGGGAACATGCACTTTGGGCAACTCAGCTATTTTACTGCTCTGCACACGACTGTCAACAACTGCAAATGTAACGTGAGTATTGATTTGGGGGCTACAAATAAATTTTAACTACTACACACATTTGTAAATGTGGAACCTGCAAATAATGACTGTGTGAAACCACATACACGTCTTCGTCCCTTTAACCATGACCTTCATAAAATCGATCAACTGGCATCTCCCTGGCCTTTTCAATGTCATTTCAAATGATCTGCCTTAGTCTAAAAATGGTGCTGAATGATAATGCTCCTCTTTCAACTGCTTAACAACGTCTCTCTCCCTTGTGAAAATTCTTTACTATTTGTGTTTATGTTAAAGATGACCTTAGGTTCAAGGCTCTCTTCCAGGGTACCGATGGCTCTCCGGTTTCCTTCCATCCTTGAAGCTCTGCTCTACGGAAGCTTTCTGCCCTCACACCCCTGCAGCCTTCTTCCAGACGCATCTGCACGGTGCGCCACAGGTAGCCAACTGCTCCTCAAACTCAACATCTCTGAACAGCATGATCTGAAGTAGATCATGTTTTGCCCAGGACAGGCTGCACTATTTGTGGGACCCCCTACTCAAAGATTCACTAAGTATTTCAAGACGGCAACAGCAGACCATTAAGCACAGTGATACCCTCTTATGTGTGGGACCCCAAAGTGACACCTCACCTACCTGGAGCAACGAGAGCAACCCGGGATCAGGGCTGGCTCTGCACTGATGTCTCCCAGAGGTGCTTTCCCTCCCCCGCTCCCGCCTTCTGGTCCTGGCTCACTTATGAACCAGGGAAAATACACTCGACCACTCTCTGTCTAAATTCTTTTCTCTACAAAAAGAGTTAAAAAAGTGAGTAAATATTACTATTATTCCCTTTTTATGGAGAAAGGAATTAAGATGAGGTGATTAAGTATAAATAGTAATATTTACTCATCCTTGTCTCATGGAGATATTAGAAGGATTTAATGACAGGGCTTAGGAAGAAAG